AGCTGTATGTTATATCATTTGATAAGACTGAATTGTTATACTGAACAGTTTAGCCTGTAGATGGTAGGCAGTCATTTGGAATCACGTGGTTCCTGAAAGTGTTTTAAGACAGCGGTAAAGTGCAGATTCAGACTGTTGACCGTGGACTGTAGAAAGAGTAGGATGGAAATAGAAGTTGTCTACCCATCGTTCAACGAAGGTCCAAGCCACTGTATTTAAAGTAACATAGTTGTTATGTAATAGTCCTGGCCATCCTGTGAAACGATCCAGATAAATTAAGAGGTAAGAGTATCCGTCTGAATCCTGAAGGGTCAGAAGAAGTCAAGGTGATTGTGGTTGAGAAGGCTCCCGAGGAACTTTTACCGTGCCTAATCATCTAAGGTTTCTGGCATCTTACACACTAGTTCGCTCACTACTCCGACTGTTAGTCCATACCATGTCAGGAAAATCGTTCTGTTCTCAGCTGATGGCGATTTGGATAAGAAAGTTTGTGCAGCATACTGAAGGAGTCGTGTAAACAATGTTTTTGCACTACTGATCAGTTCGAACTTTTACGGTTGTCAGTGACAACTGGTGCTGAAGATCACTGTCTTCTTCTGGAAGTTGGGCGAGTTTAAGATTAACCATGAGGGAACTATTATACTAGACAAGGCATCTGCGAGCACATTGTTTGCTCCATAATTATTTTGTATATCCAAAGTAGGCTGAGGGTTCGCAGTCTGTGAAAAGAATGAATCCTTCGCCTTCCACACCGTTCAGAGTGCCACACAACTCGTTAAATAGCTGGTAGTTCTTTACTGAAAGTGCCATATCTCGAATCAGACTCCTGCAACCGTCTCAGAAAGAGTGCCAAAGTAGCCAGGTATTGCGTAGCCATTGTTTTAAGACCTCTCCGATTCCCGTGTCAGACGAGTCAGCTGAGCTACCAATGGGTGTTTCGCTGTCGAGGTGTGCCAATCCAGTGTTCTTTAGTTGCGGATAATGCTTTCTTTGCGAATTCGTCTAAATTAGTGATTCCCGCACCTCCAATTATTTGGTTACATAGGGGTCTCATGAAAGATATGCAATTCACCTTAAACTGTGGCCAAAAACAACCTAATTCACTGACCGTGTGCAGTTTTCTGGGTGTGATAGATTCTGGATGATTGAGAACGACAGCCAGTTCATTTTCTGGACGGCGAATATCTTGGACATCGTAAGTATGCCCGAGAAAGTCGATGAAGTTGATTTCATTTCGACTTTTCTTTATGTTGCCAGTAATTCTGTATATTTGAAGTTATTGGAAAACAAGGTACAGATGCTGAAGACGGGATCCTATGATCACCCGTAGACATAGTGATTTGGACATGAGCTTTGACAAGTTATTTCTTTTTTTCGAGATAGCTATCGTTTATGAGTGTGAGGCAACGGCTGATAGTCGGGGGTGGTATTATGTCTCCGACAACCACAGGTTGAACGCCATTCGTTGCGGCCTTTTTAAGGACCACATACAAGAGGGATGAACAAATGATGTTTTACTGTTGGAATATTCCTAAACCTTTCATATGTTCGAAATAGTTTTTGACTAGCCTTTGTATTTCAGAAGATTGTGAGTCTTTGAAAAAACCCATGGTCCTGGTATGTTCTGGTTACACACTGTAATTACGATCGTTTTTCGTTCAGGTACTTATTAGGTATCATTTGTAAGTTTAATTATTGTCTATTCCATTAAATTTTTAATTTCGACCTACAACCGTAAATAGAAGAATCGTTCGGCTAACTTCTCTTTATTTGGTTCGACCAGTTATTTGTGTAGTCATGACAGGTCTAGTGGCCGACAGTGACATATGTTCCAAAGCAAAGATCTGATGGAAGAGCTTTTGTATAAGTACCGTCTGTGGCTTTAAAAGCTTAAGCTCTGATTTTGAGGAAGATTTCTAGTATCAATGAAATGCTTCTTAATTATTGGTGAAATTACGAACATTTGTCGTCGTCTTTATAAACGAAAGACGACTGTTCCTACTGACGATGTTCGCCGTTAAAGCGTGCTAATGTTAGAGTTTCTTTAAATATTGATTTTGACAGAAGGCTTAGAGTCGGGGAAAATTCAGTGTTCCCTGAAATTTGTGGTTTACATATCATAAATGTTGTAGTAGTTAAGGTCATCCGCGACTCATGATTCGGAGATCGATCATGGTGACAAGCTTCATAGGGAAGTGTTGGACTGCTTTTAAGCATAACAAAGTTAAGGACACCAGTGAGAATATTACAGAAATCAGTAATTTAGTTTCGCGCCGGTCGTGTATTTTCTTCGTCGGGACAAATCTAAAAGCTAAGAGTTCTAGTGGTCATTATTATTGACAAAATAGAATGGAATGAATTGAACGGCAGGGAGCTTCATGATCTTGTAGCTGTTGGGATGATTCCCAGGTGAAAACTCCCAAACGAATCCAAACCAGGAATAGTCACAATACAAAATAACGATATTTATTGATTAGAAGTCGCGTGATATCAAGATGATATCACGTGTTCAGTCAGACAGCGAAATAACAAGAACGAACAATTCAGCCACAGGATTGGCAAGGTTGGCGCCTGAGTTATGGCTTTTAGTACAGATAAACAAAAGGTGTACAATGAAACAGTTATTGCTATACATGTTCAACAATGAGTATTTGTATGTCAGCACTTATGTTTTATTCATAAAATAGTTCCACTACAATCTTATTTTTGCAAAGTTCCAGTTCGTTTTTTAACCCAGTAAGAAAGGAATATACAAATGTGCGAGAAAATCTGAGAACGTTGGAGAAACTGTATATAACATAGCGACGAGGACTACACATCAAATTAGGTTCACCACTTAAGACTTCCAGGACATTAAGGGTTTGATGACACTTTTGTTCGCATCATCTATCTAATCGAGTACGCCAAACCTAGTCCATCCAGACGTATGAAGAAATGGATTTCGAAGATATAATTAAAAGATAGGATTTTGAGAAGCATGAGATTTACACTGGTAAGGGATTTGAAACACGTTTTAACCAATGGAGCTATGGTACGACTAGGTGACTGAGGGCATTCAGCTAGGGTATGTGCCAGAATCATGACATAAAATTAATAGAACTAAATTTTTTGTGGCTTACTTGCTACATGACTGCACTTTTTCTAAGGCAATTGAATCTTGTCACTATACACTAAGAGAGGACAAATATCACATGGTTAACATTATAAGTAATGATTTTGAAAATTACGAATAAGTCTCTTTGTCTGTATCTCCTCAAGGTCAAGAGGCTTTTTAACTTTTTGGCACAAACTCGTGATTTTGAGTTGGTTTTGGTTTTTCGAATGATGTTAATTCGAGGGTTTTTATCCTAATTTGTTATCTAAGAAAAGTCTGTATTCAGTTTATTTAAATTGTGTTACAATTACAACTTAGGTTGATGCTCCTCTCGTTTAACCACTTATATACGTCGCATATAATTTGCCTGTACATAAACTACGGTCCATTCTTCATACCTGCAAAATTGTATTGTGTGGGTCATTTCAGCCCACCGTAATAGGCATTCTGATGATCTGTAGAGTAACTCAAATGGTTTCGTAATGACCTGATCTATATCGACCAGATCTATTGTTTATCCCGGTGGGTCATAACATGAGATTACTGGTTGTCCATATCTAATCGCTAGGTAATCTTTATAAAGGTGACGTGCATAAAATACATTTAGGCTAAAAAGCCTTTTGTGTCCTGAGCAACTCATCATTAACCTTAAGCATAAACCTATGATACCAGACCCTAAGATTACGTGCACAATTTCAGCAATAAATACAAATAATCCTTGCAAACCAACAATAACAGGCACTCCTAAATGTTAAAAATACTCAGTTTAGTGATTTAAAGACCATGAAAAATACTCAATCACTCGAATATTTGTATTAATTCCTCTAACAGCACCAAGTATCATTTCAGGTAAAATATCTTGCAGGTTTTTTGAAGGTACTTTCTAAATCGGTATTGCTGTGTGCATGTCATACTTATGAAGTAAGCTATACACAGCAGCGCTCAGAGAAAATAGGACGGTTCAGCGGAGAATACGTCTTCAAAATCATTTTTTAAATCTATAGACTTATATTTATTATCGTTTGCGCTGAAACGTCGTTATCTTATCTAATGACTCAGTCGTTTTTCCTTAGAGTCAGGTTGTTTTTGTTTCATCTATCTAATCAGACATATTAGGTATTTCCCTGTACTTTCCATTCTCTTGTGACTACCTGTTATGTTCATGATCCTTACACTTGATGGTCGATCAGATATGAATTAAGAATTAGGATGCATATATTCTTCGATTTATATTGAGGTACTTCGAGTAACTGGCGCCTACAGTAGTAATAAGAAACCAAGTTATTATAGGACTAACTGAAAAACCTGTCTGAAATCATAGTAGCATTGGAATAAAACCAGAATTGACCTATATTTGTATTGAAATTAGTACCTGTAATCATTCACCAGCAATTGTGTAAAAACAGAAACAACTGTGACATTAGAATATCGAGCGATTGAAATGTAGTGAAGTAAACCCAGGACTACATAAGGCTAGTCTAATTCGGAATGAAGTGAAATTAATCCAAGCAGTGCATAGTGTAAACTAGTCAGCGCGTCTTAATTATTTGTTTATCAATAAACTGGTGGAATAGTTAGACCCAACCAATCAAAAGAATATCCAATGGATTTATACAAGGCATTTGAAATAATTGTATAATGATTCACAAGTCAACCAGTAGGATTGCATTATTGCGTTTAACGCTCATTCAGTTATCGTATTCCAGAACAACTATGCAGTTACATGCATTTAACATATCTGCATTAAATAGTATACTAACTTAGTAAAATACAAGATTCTACTTTTGATTCTAGCCTTCGGACTGTACAACCACTTTTTGAAGTGTAGAAAAACGTCAATATAGATTTGTCGTGTCTGTTTTTATCTTTTCCAGTTGTAAAATTAATTTAGCCTATCCACAAAAAAATGACCCAATCTTATGTTGTTATGACCCCATATACTTTGGGGAACATGAAAATTATTCGTTTTGAACGTACACACGTCTTAGATGAAAGTATGGTTCATCACATCGCTGGTGGACAACATTCTGGTATTATAGTAAATAAAGAATGCAAGCTAAAAATGGAACCTATGGATGTACCAGAAATGCAGCTACAATTCACATGTGCTATGTTCAACAATAGGACTTCAGAAACTCATGCAGTAAGTACTGTTAATTGATTCTAATTTATTGTTATCGTTATAGTTATCAGGCAACTAGTATGTTATCCTTTACATGACAATCGGATTGACAAGCTTTTTTTCGAACATGTACATTGTCAGTTACTTCCATGCTAATTTTTTCAGTAGTTTTAACCGTTCTAATATGTATGTAGAAATTTTTTAGTTTGGGTTTTGAAACCATATTGAGTATTCACTGGCTAGATTAGGTTCTAAAAACCATTGCAATGACTAGTATAGATTCCAGCTTTACTCATTTTCGTAAGGCTGTAAAAACCTTAGTATTCTCACTTCTCTATACTTTTTTATTATCATTCATTCCGATGTAAGTACTTTCATCAAATACCCACTTCCTTGGAAATTTTTTATTTAAAAACTTATTTGTACAAGCGGTGCTCAAATACTTATGCGCCGCACGAATGAATCGATTTGTTTTGGCTCCAGTACTACCTACTTGCCAGAAACGAAGCAGGTATTAGTAGTCTAATCTACAAGGCAGTGGAGTGACGTAAGGAGATGCAGTCCAATGACAGCCCGTGATCAATAATAGTTTCATACGCCGTTCGTTTCCTCAGGAAACTGTAACTCATGTGCACCATTGGTTTGGATGTACTGTCCGTACCCAGTAAATTGGTTTAAGCGCCAAATATTTGCACTTGGTTCTCTTAATTTCTTAGATAACACACCAGTAACGAGAAGGCAGTGAGTAGGGCTACTTTGAAATTGGGTTTATACGCGTGAACATATGAGAGCTTCTCGAGGGGTAGAGAGGACTCCTTACTCTTGGCTGTACCACTGTAATGAACGAAAGCATCCATAGCAAATAAAGCAGCAATATATTTAGCGAAAATAGTCTATAGTACTAAAATACATACACTTAGTCTTCAGACTTGGATTTGAAGAGCGAGCAGATTACTGGTAATCTTTCGCACGTCTTCTGGTCTTCAATGCATTTATCGCACCATTCATTCCGATCGGATGCTCTTCCCTCCAGTAGTCAGTCAGTCAGTTACAAAATGGAGCTTCGTACGTACGTACGTCAAGGTAGTAGCTACGGTCGGGAAAGCTCGGCACTGTCCCGAACTAGTTCTTGCATCGACACCTCAACTAGTGTTCGGGAGAGAGGTAGTTAAGCCTGTCGACCACTTCATTTATCTTGCGATTTTTATCAGTGCTGATGGCCTGGAGACTGACGAAATCTCAGTACGGATACAGAAGGCTCGATTGGCTTTTGCCAATTTACGTCACTTATGGTGTAAGCAAGATATCAGTCTGCTAACCAAAGGACGAGTCTACTGCACAGCAGTTCTCTGTGTTCTACTTTATGGCTGTGAAACATGGCCAGTGAGAGTAGAAGATATTCGTAGGTTACTGGTTTTCGATCATAGGTATCTTCGAAGCATTGCTCGTATATCCTGGGACAACCGAGTGAGCAACGTCGTTATTAGGAAACGGGTGCTAAGTAAGAATGACAGATCAACAGATGAAGTAATAGAACTTCATCATTTGAGGTGGTTGGGATATGTGTTGCGTATGCCTAACCACCGGCTGCCTCGAAGAGCTATATTTTTGCGGTGTAGGAATAGGTTGGACGAAAGCTAGGGGCGGCCACACCAAAACATGGCGGAAATCCATGAAGTCATTGACGAGTGGACTGAGCCATGTCGGTAGTTGTCGACTACCTGGTTGGGGTCCGCAAGATGATAATAATCGATGGTTAGAGACGCTGAATGACTTATCTCAAAACCGTTTGCGATGGCGCCGGTGCATTTATGCTTTGTGTTCTCTCAAATCCTAATGTTCTGGATTCTTCAACACCTCTAGTTTTGACTTTCTAAACTTTTCTCACTGAATCATACTTCTTGAATAATATCTTCTAATCCTAACCTCTCTGATTACTTCTAATACCTTTACTACCTCTTCTACAATTGGATTTGAATTGACAATTATATCTCTGTGCTAATGTGGTATGGCAACATGAACTGACGTACTTACGTACGAAGTTCTACGTTGCATCTGACTGACTGACTGAGTCACTAATTTATACGTAAAGTCTGGATCTAATGTATATTGACTCAGGTTACCAAGATTTTAGACCACTGCAATTAAGCAAACCATATCAGTGTACATATTTACGCCATTAATTGTATGTCCGTTTTATCAGTGTCAGTTATATTTTCCTGTATTCACTGGCAAACACTTATAAACCATTCATGAATCACTTGTTTAGTAATTTTATTTAAATTGTTATTAAGCTGCAAAAAGTGCTTTGAGTTATACTATCTTTATGTGTACAATCTGCTGATTACTTTTAGGAAAACCGTTGTTTAAAATTTTGGTTCAGCAAAAAGTGCTCAACAATTCGATCGTTTGGATGAGTCGTATGACTTTTTTAGGGAACTCATTGATCCTGATTCATTCCCAAGGGGTAGGTTAGAATAATTCCCTGTTATTTGTGCGAAGCACAAAGATCCGCTTTTTGTTTATTTGATTTGAATATAACCTGTTGATACAAATGGGCACCGAAATAAATGTGAGTCACAAAAATAAGTAAATAAAATTGAAAGAGATAAATAAAGGATATAACAAAGAAATAATCATATGAGTAAAAATTGGTGAAAAAAGTAAAAACAAAAACACAACAAGACTGGTTTTTGTTTTGACACATGTCTGACATCATCCGGAGTCATAATGTTGCGCTATCTATCGGACTACAACCAGAAAGTCGTGATTGACCGATAGTTGTTAGTAATATAGAGCTTTCTTTCATACCCCTGTATTATATCTTAAACTAGCCACGTCTCTGCTTTTTTTAAACCCGTCCTAGCTTCGCCAAATAGAGCACTATATGGGAGCTGTTGTCATAGCGTTTTTAGTGCACTTCCAGGCTATTGAAAACAGTGTTTCAAGATAGTGATACCAAGTGAGCTATTAATAGTGTGTCTGAGCACATATTGCCGCGCCTCTGAACTATTAACGTGATGTCACTGAATGTCAGTAGTCGTTTGGAAACGATGATGCTTGAAGGTCGTCTAATACGCTAGTATGTTGTGGTATGTACCAGATTCTACGTTGTGACTGACTAACTGATATGCTCACTCCGAAACGGCCAGGTTTCGCAAGCATGTAACACAACTGCTTCACTGTCGTGTCGCAAACCGGACCAGACTGACATCACAAAGATGGCCCAGATTGTAATTGTATGTAGATTGATTTCTTAACTCACTCCACTCTCATCACTCATATAGCTACCCAGATGCACGAATTTTTCGACCATCTTTATCCACTCATTACTAAGAATGAGTGTAGGCACTGGCTCTCATCAGTCTTTTAAAAGTAAATGTAAAGTATATACCGTACTAACTACTAACTGGTTAAGCACGGATTTCATAGCTCATCATTACACCGTAAGATAACATCATCGGTATATTCAGGATTAAACAGCCTTTCTCCAGGTGGCGAAATCATACTACCATTACTTTTCCCGAACTTTCCAAATAGTTAATTGCCTGACTAGAACTTCACCATCCTTAAAAAGGGTCGTGGTAAGTCATCTAGAGCTTCAGAGATGAAAATCCTTGTGGACCTCCATTCAGTTAGATGGATTAGTCTTCACTGGCCGCAGAGGATGAGGCAATCACAGATGCATACACTATCTAGCTAGTCAGGGTTAATAAACAAATTGGATTATGACATAATGTGTGACTAAAGTTCCAACATCAGTCTTCAAATTGAATACAGCTGTTTACTATACTCAAATACTCTGTGAGGTATGACTGTTGCTAGTGTGGTTCACACAATACCTATCTTAGCGACCGTCATGTATTTTCCACTTAGGGAAGGCAGGTTTCTTGTTCATAATGTGGGATCGATAGGAAAAAGCATCTTAAATCCAATCATCTTAAGCCATATTAAAGTAGCCTAGGGACAAACGGTCACTCAGTATTTCTGGCTTTATAGTTGTGGATAAGTCTAATCGAGCACACTAGCGCCTAGTGTCATATAAGCTCTTAAGTACGCGAAACTGGCTTCGCTCTGCAACTTCCCGCCAAATGATCACACAGTATTAAGATGCAGTCAGTTTTGTGAAGTGCTTCGAGTATTTCTGAAGATAATCCTTTAAGTTTTTTCTTCATTATTTGTCGCAACGTAAAAACCAATGGGATTTGAACTGACAGTGGCGTCTCTGTGCTAATGCAGTATGGCAACGTGAACTAATGTACTTACGTACGAAGTTCTACGTTGTTACTGACTGATTGAACCAGTAAAGTTGAAGTGAAGTATTTTAGTTCAATTTCTTGTCTTCACTTTTGTGTCCAGTGTATTATTCCCTGGTTTTCATTTTTGAACTACCTTATTGTGACTGGAGATTCATCTGAGTACAAATCAAGCCCAATTTGCATTGATGAATTGATTTCAAAGTTATGAGATTGACTAAGTAAATAATTTCATTAGTTTAACACTGAAATAATCGATGAAAATGAAATAAATCGTAACAAAATCAATTTTCCGAGGAAAGTCTTTATTTGAGGTGTGGAGTTTCAAAATTCTAGCGTTCAAATTTTAAGTGTCCACACCTCAAATAAAGACTTTCCTCGGAAAATTGATTTTGTTACGATTTGTTTCATTTTCATCGATTATTTCAGTGTTAAAACTAATGAAATTATTTACTTAGTCAATCTCATAACTTTGAAATCAATTCATCAATGCAAATTGGGCTTGATTTGTACTCAGATGAATCTCCAGTCACAATAAGGTAGTTCAAAAATGAAAACCAGGGAATAATACACTGGACACAAAAGTGAAGACAAGAAATTGAACTAAAATACTTCACTTCAACTTTACTGGTTCAATCAGTCAGTAACAACGTAGAACTTCGTACGTAAGTACATTAGTTCACGTTGCCATACTGCATTAGCACAGAGACGCCACTGTCAGTTCAAATCCCATTGGTTTTTACGTTGCGACAAATAATGAAGAAAAAACTTAAAGGATTATCTTCAGAAATACTCGAAGCACTTCACAAAACTGACTGCATCTTAATACTGTGTGATCATTTGGCGGGAAGTTGCAGAGCGAAGCCAGTTTCGCGTACTTAAGAGCTTATATGACACTAGGCGCTAGTGTGCTCGATTAGACTTATCCACAACTATAAAGCCAGAAATACTGAGTGACCGTTTGTCCCTAGGCTACTTTAATATGGCTTAAGATGATTGGATTTAAGATGCTTTTTCCTATCGATCCCACATTATGAACAAGAAACCTGCCTTCCCTAAGTGGAAAATACATGACGGTCGCTAAGATAGGTATTGTGTGAACCACACTAGCAACAGTCATACCTCACAGAGTATTTGAGTATAGTAAACAGCTGTATTCAATTTGAAGACTGATGTTGGAACTTTAGTCACACATTATGTCATAATCCAATTTGTTTATTAACCCTGACTAGCTAGATAGTGTATGCATCTGTGATTGCCTCATCCTCTGCGGCCAGTGAAGACTAATCCATCTAACTGAATGGAGGTCCACAAGGATTTTCATCTCTGAAGCTCTAGATGACTTACCACGACCCTTTTTAAGGATGGTGAAGTTCTAGTCAGGCAATTAACTATTTGGAAAGTTCGGGAAAAGTAATGGTAGTATGATTTCGCCACCTGGAGAAAGGCTGTTTAATCCTGAATATACCGATGATGTTATCTTACGGTGTAATGATGAGCTATGAAATCCGTGCTTAACCAGTTAGTAGTTAGTACGGTATATACTTTACATTTACTTTTAAAAGACTGATGAGAGCCAGTGCCTACACTCATTCTTAGTAATGAGTGGATAAAGATGGTCGAAAAATTCGTGCATCTGGGTAGCTATATGAGTGATGAGAGTGGAGTGAGTTAAGAAATCAATCTACATACAATTACAATCTGGGCCATCTTTGTGATGTCAGTCTGGTCCGGTTTGCGACACGACAGTGAAGCAGTTGTGTTACATGCTTGCGAAACCTGGCCGTTTCGGAGTGAGCATATCAGTTAGTCAGTCACAACGTAGAATCTGGTACATACCACAACATACTAGCGTATTAGACGACCTTCAAGCATCATCGTTTCCAAACGACTACTGACATTCAGTGACATCACGTTAATAGTTCAGAGGCGCGGCAATATGTGCTCAGACACACTATTAATAGCTCACTTGGTATCACTATCTTGAAACACTGTTTTCAATAGCCTGGAAGTGCACTAAAAACGCTATGACAACAGCTCCCATATAGTGCTCTATTTGGCGAAGCTAGGACGGGTTTAAAAAAAGCAGAGACGTGGCTAGTTTAAGATATAATACAGGGGTATGAAAGAAAGCTCTATATTACTAACAACTATCGGTCAATCACGACTTTCTGGTTGTAGTCCGATAGATAGCGCAACATTATGACTCCGGATGATGTCAGACATGTGTCAAAACAAAAACCAGTCTTGTTGTGTTTTTGTTTTTACTTTTTTCACCAATTTTTACTCATATGATTATTTCTTTGTTATATCCTTTATTTATCTCTTTCAAATTTTATTTACTTATTTTCGTGACTCACATTTATTTCGGTGCCCATTTGTATCAACAGTTATATTCAAATCAATAAACAAAAAGCGGATCTTTGTGCTTCGCACAAATAACAGGAATTATTCTAACCTACCCCTTGGGAATGAATCAGGATCAATGAGTTCCCTAAAAAAGTCATACGACTCATCCAAACGATCGAATTGTTGAGCACTTTTGCTGAACCAAAATTTTAAACAACGGTTTTCCTAAAAGTAATCAGCAGATTGTACACATAAAGATAGTATAACTCAAAGCACTTTTTGCAGCTAATAACAATTTAAATAAAATTACTAAACAAGTGATTCATGAATGGTTTATAAGTGTTTGCCAGTGAATACAGGAAAATATAACTGACACTGATAAAACGGACATACAATTAATGGCGTAAATATGTAACTGATATGGTTTTGCTTAATTGCAGTGGTCTAAAATCTGGTAACCTGAGTCAATATACATTAGATCCAGACTTTACGTATAAATTAGTGACTCAGTCAGTCAGTCAGATGCAACGTAGAACTTCGTACGTAAGTACGTCAGTTCATGTTGCCATACCACATTAGCACAGAGATATAATTGTCAATTCAAATCCAATTGTAGAAGAGGTAGTAAAGGTATTGGAAGTAATCAGAGAGGTTAGGATTAGAAGATATTATTCAAGAAGTATGATTCAGTGAGAAAAGTTTAGAAAGTCAAAACTAGAGGTGTTGAAGAATCCAGAACATTAGGATTTGAGAGAACACAAAGCATAAATGCACCGGCGCCATCGCAAACGGTTTTGAGATAAGTCATTCAGCGTCTCTAACCATCGATTATTATCATCTTGCGGACCCCAACCAGGTAGTCGACAACTACCGACATGGCTCAGTCCACTCGTCAATGACTTCATGGATTTCCGCCATGTTTTGGTGTGGCCGCCCCTAGCTTTCGTCCAACCTATTCCTACACCGCAAAATATAGCTCTTCGAGGCAGTCGGTGATTAGGTATACGCAACACATGTTCCAACCACCTCAAATGATGAAGTTCTATTACTTCATCTATTGATCTGTCATTCTTACCTAGTACCCGTTTCCTAGTAACAGCGTTGCTCACTCGGTTGTCCCAGGATATACAAGCAATGCTTCGAAGACAACTACGATCGAAAACCAGTAACCTACCAATATCTTCTACTCTCACTGGCCATGTTTCACAGCCATAAAGTAGAACACAGAGAACTGCTGTGCAGTAGACTCGTCTTTTGGTTTACAGACAGGTATCTTACGTACGCCATAAGTGAAGCAAGTTGGCAAAAGCCAATCGAGCCTTCTGTATCCGTACTGAGATTTCGTCAGTCACCAGGCCATCAGCACTGATCAGACTCCCAAGATAAGTGAAGTGGTCGACAGGCTTAACTACCTCTCTCCCGAACACTAGTTGAGGTGTCGATGCAAGAACTAGTTCGGGACAGTGCCGAGCTTTCCCGACCGTAGCTACTACCTTGACGTACGTACGTACGAAGCTCCATTTTGTAACTGACTGACTGACTACTGGAGGGAAGAGCATCCGATCGGAATGAATGGTGCGATAAATGCATTGAAGACCAGAAGACGTGCGAAAGATTACCAGTAATCTGCTCGCTCTTCAAATCCAAGTCTGAAGACTAAGTGTATGTATTTTAGTACTATAGACTATTTTCGCTAAATATATTGCTGCTTTATTTGCTATGGATGCTTTCGTTCATTACAGTGGTACAGCCAAGAGTAAGGAGTCCTCTCTACCCCTCGAGAAGCTCTCATATGTTCACGCGTATAAACCCAATTTCAAAGTAGCCCTACTCACTGCCTTCTCGTTACTGGTGTGTTATCTAAGAAATTAAGAGAACCAAGTGCAAATATTTGGCGCTTAAACCAATTTACTGGGTACGGACAGTACATCCAAACCAATGGTGCACATGAGTTACAGTTTCCTGAGGAAACGAACGGCGTATGAAACTATTATTGATCACGGGCTGTCATTGGACTGCATCTCCTTACGTCACTCCACTGCCTTGTAGATTAGACTACTAATACCTGCTTCGTTTCTGGCAAGTAGGTAGTACTGGAGCCAAAACAAATCGATTCATTCGTGCGGCGCATAAGTATTTGAGCACCGCTTGTACAAATAAGTTTTTAAATAAAAAATTTCCAAGGAAGTGGGTATTTGATGAAAGTACTTACATCGGAATGAATGATAATAAAAAAGTATAGAGAAGTGAGAATACTAAGGTTTTACAGCCTTACGAAAATGAGTAAAGCTGGAATCTATACTAGTCATTGCAATGGTTTTTAGAACCTAATCTAGCCAGTGAATACTCAATATGGTTTCAAAACCCAAACTAAAAAATTTCTACATACATATTAGAACGGTTAAAACTACTGAAAAATTAGCATGGAAGTAACTGACAATGTACATGTTCGAAAAAAAGCTTGTCAATCCGATTGTCATGTAAAGGATAACATACTAGTTGCCTGATAACTATAACGATAACAATAAATTAAAAATCAATTAACAGTACTTACTGCATGAGTTTCTGAAGTCCTATTGTTGAACATAGCACATGTGAATTGTAGCTGCATTTCTGGTACATCCATAGGTTCCATTTTTAGCTTGCATTCTTTATTTACTATAATACCAGAATGTTGTCCACCAGCGATGTGATGAACCATACTTTCATCTAAGACGTGTGTACGTTCAAAACGAATAATTTTCATGTTCCCCAAAGTATATGGGGTCATAACAACATAAGATTGGGTCATTTTTTTGTGGATAGGCTAAATTAATTTTACAACTGGAAAAGATAAAAACAGACACGACAAATCTATATTGACGTTTTTCTACACTTCAAAAAAGTGGTTGTACAGTCCGAAGGCTAGAATCAAAAGTAGAATCTTGTATTTTACTAAGTTAGTATACTATTTAATGCAGATATGTTAAATGCATGTAACTGCATAGTTGTTCTGGAATACGATAACTGAATGAGCGTTAAACGCAATAATGCAATCCTACTGGTTGACTTGTGAATCATTATACAATTATTTCAAATGCCTTGTATAAATCCATTGGATATTCTTTTGATTGGTTGGGTCTAACTATTCCACCAGTTTATTGATAAACAAATAATTAAGACGCGCTGACTAGTTTACACTATGCACTGCTTGGATTAATTTCACTTCATTCCGAATTAGACTAGCCTTATGTAGTCCTGGGTTTACTTCACTACATTTCAATCGCTCGATATTCTAATGTCACAGTTGTTTCTGTTTTTACACAATTGCTGGTGAATGATTACAGGTACTAATTTCAATACAAATATAGGTCAATTCTGGTTTTATTCCAATGCTACTATGATTTCAGACAGGTTTTTCAGTTAGTCCTATAATAACTTGGTTTCTTATTACTACTGTAGGCGCCAGTTACTCGAAGTACCTCAATATAAATCGAAGAATATATGCATCCTAATTCTTAATTCATATCTGATCGACCATCAAGTGTAAGGATCATGAACATAACAGGTAGTCACAAGAGAATGGAAAGTACAGGGAAATACCTAATATGTCTGATTAGATAGATGAAACAAAAACAACCTGACTCTAAGGAAAAACGACTGAGTCATTAGATAAGATAACGACGTTTCAGCGCAAACGATAATAAATATAAGTCTATAGATTTAAAAAATGATTTTGAAGACGTATTCTCCGCTGAACCGTCCTATTTTCTCTGAGCGCTGCTGTGTATAGCTTACTTCATAAGTATGACATGCACACAGCAATACCGATTTAGAAAGTACCTTCAAAAAACCTGCAAGATATTTTACCTGAAATGATACTTGGTGCTGTTAGAGGAATTAATACAAATATTCGAGTGATTGAGTATTTTTCATGGTCTTTAAATCACTAAACTGAGTATTTTTAACATTTAGGAGTGCCTGTTATTGTTGGTTTGCAAGGATTATTTGTATTTATTGCTGAAATTGTGCACGTAATCTTAGGGTCTGGTATCATAGGTTTATGCTTAAGGTTAATGATGAGTTGCTCAGGACACAAAAGGCTTTTTAGCCTAAATGTATTTTATGCACGTCACCTTTATAAAGATTACCTAGCGATTAGATATGGACAACCAGTAATCTCATGTTATGACCCACCGGGATACACAATAGATCTGGTCGATATAGATCAGGTCATTACGAAACCATTTGAGTTACTATACAGATCATCAGAATGCCTATTACGGTGGGCTGAAATGACCCACACAATACAATTTTGCAGGTATGAAGAATGGACCGTAGTTTATGTACAGGCAAATTATATGCGACGTATATAAGTGGTTAAACGAGAGGAGCATCATCCTAAGTTGTAATTGTAACACAATTTAAATAAACTGAATACAGACTTTTCTTAGATAATTTATTAGGATAAAAACCCTCGAATTAACATCATTCGAAAAACCAAAACCAACTCAAAATCACGAGTTTGTGCCAAAAAGTTAAAAAGCCTCTTGACCTTGAGGAGATACAGACAAAGAGACTTATTCGTAATTTTCAAAATCATTACTTATAATGTTAACCATGTGATATTTGTCCTCTCTTAGTGTATAGTGACAAGATTCAATTGCCTTAGAAAAAGTGCAGTCATGTAGCAAGTAAGCCACAAAAAATTTAGTTCTATTAATTTTATGTCATGATTCTGGCACATACCCTAGCTGAATGCCCTCAGTCACCTAGTCGTACCATAGCTCCATTGGTTAAAACGTGTTTCAAATCCCTTACCAGTGTAAATCTCATGCTTCTCAAAATCCTATCTTTTAATTATATCTTCGAAATCCATTTCTTCATACGTCTGGATGGACTAGGTTTGGCGTACTCGATTAGATAGATGATGCGAACAAAAGTGTCATCAAACCCTTAATGTCCTGGAAGTCTTAAGTGGTGAACCTAATTTGATGTGTAGTCCTCGTCGCTATGTTATATACAGTTTCTCCAACGTTCTCAGATTTTCTCGCACATTTGTATATTCCTTTCTTACTGGGTTAAAAAACGAACTGGAACTTTGCAAAAATAAGATTGTAGTGGAACTATTTTATGAATAAAACATAAGTGCTGACATACAAATACTCATTGTTGAACATGTATAGCAATAACTGTTTCATTGTACACCTTTTGTTTATCTGTACTAAAAGCCATAACTCAGGCGCCAACCTTGCCAATCCTGTGGCTGAATTGTTCGTTCTTGTTATTTCGCTGTCTGACTGAACACGTGATATCATCTTGATATCACGCGACTTCTAATCAATAAATATCGTTATTTTGTATTGTGACTATTCCTGGTTTGGATTCGTTTGGGAGTTTTCACCTGGGAATCATCCCAACAGCTACAAGATCATGAAGCTCCCTGCCGTTCAATTCATTCCATTCTATTTTGTCAATAATAATGACCACTAGAACTCTTAGCTTTTAGATTTGTCCCGACGAAGAAAATACACGACCGGCGCGAAACTAAATTACTGATTTCTGTAATATTCTCACTGGTGTCCTTAACTTTGTTATGCTTAAAAGCAGTCCAACACTTCCCTATGAAGCTTGTCACCATGATCGATCTCCGAATCATGAGTCGCGGATGACCTTAACTACTACAACATTTATGATATGTAAACCACAAATTTCAGGGAACACTGAATTTTCCCCGACTCTAAGCCTTCTGTCAAAATCAATATTTAAAGAAACTCTAACATTAGCACGCTTTAACGGCGAACATCGTCAGTAGGAACAGTCGTCTTTCGTTTATAAAGACGACGACAAATGTTCGTAATTTCACCAATAATTAAGAAGCATTTCATTGATACTAGAAATCTTCCTCAAAATCAGAGCTTAAGCTTTTAAAGCCACAGACGGTACTTATACAAAAGCTCTTCCATCAGATCTTTGCTTTGGAACATATGTCACTGTCGGCCACTAGACCTGTCATGACTACACAAATAACTGGTCGAACCAAATAAAGAGAAGTTAGCCGAACGATTCTTCTATTTACGGTTGTAGGTCGAAATTAAAAATTTAATGGAATAGACAATAATTAAACTTACAAATGATACCTAATAAGTACCTGAACGAAAAACGATCGTAATTACAGTGTGTAACCAGAACATACCAGGACCATGGGTTTTTTCAAAGACTCACAATCTTCTGAAATACAAAGGCTAGTCAAAAACTATTTCGAACATATGAAAGGTTTAGGAATATTCCAACAGTAAAACATCATTTGTTCATCCCTCTTGTATGTGGTCCTTAAAAAGGCCGCAACGAATGGCGTTCAACCTGTGGTTGTCGGAGACATAATACCACCCCCGACTATCAGCCGTTGCCTCACACTCATAAACGATAGCTATCTCGAAAAAAAGAAATAACTTGTCAAAGCTCATGTCCAAATCACTATGTCTACGGGTGATCATAGGATCCCGTCTTCAGCATCTGTACCTTGTTTTCCAATAACTTCAAATATACAGAATTACTGGCAACATAAAGAAAAGTCGAAATGAAATCAACTTCATCGACTTTCTCGGGCATACTTACGATGTCCAAGATATTCGCCGTCCAGAAAATGAACTGGCTGTCGTTCTCAATCATCCAGAATCTATCACACCCAGAAAACTGCACACGGTCAGTGAATTAGGTTGTTTTTGGCCACAGTTTAAGGTGAATTGCATATCTTTCATGAGACCCCTATGTAACCAAATAATTGGAGGTGCGGGAATCACTAATTTAGACGAATTCGCAAAGAAAGCATTATCCGCAACTAAAGAACACTGGATTGGCACACCTCGACAGCGAAACACCCATTGGTAGCTCAGCTGACTCGTCTGACACGGGAATCGGAGAGGTCTTAAAACAATGGCTACGCAATACCTGGCTACTTTGGCACTCTTTCTGAGACGGTTGCAGGAGTCTGATTCGAGATATGGCACTTTCAGTAAAGAACTACCAGCTATTTAACGAGTTGTGTGGCACTCTGAACGGTGTGGAAGGCGAAGGATTCATTCTTTTCACAGACTGCGAACCCTCAGCCTACTTTGGATATACAAAATAATTATGGAGCAAACAATGTGCTCGCAGATGCCTTGTCTAGTATAATAGTTCCCTCATGGTTAATCTTAAACTCGCCCAACTTCCAGAAGAAGACAGTGATCTTCAGCACCAGTTGTCACTGACAACCGTAAAAGTTCGAACTGATCAGTAGTGCAAAAACATTGTTTACACGACTCCTTCAGTATGCTGCACAAACTTTCTTATCCAAATCGCCATCAGCTGAGAACAGAACGATTTTCCTGACATGGTATGGACTAACAGTCGGAGTAGTGAGCGAACTAGTGTGTAAGATGCCAGAAACCTTAGATGATTAGGCACGGTAAAAGTTCCTCGGGAGCCTTCTCAACCACAATCACCTTGACTTCTTCTGACCCTTCAGGATTCAGACGGATACTCTTACCTCTTAATTTATCTGGATCGTTTCACAGGATGGCCAGGACTATTACATAACAACTATGTTACTTTAAATACAGTGGCTTGGACCTTCGTTGAACGATGGGTAGACAACTTCTATTTCCATCCTACTCTTTCTACAGTCCACGGTCAACAGTCTGAATCTGCACTTTACCGCTGTCTTAAAACACTTTCAGGAACCACGTGATTCCAAATGACTGCCTACCATCTACAGGCTAAACTGTTCAGTATAACAATTCAGTCTTATCAAATGATATAACATACAGCTGAACTAAAATGCGTGTGACCATTGCCTATAAATTAATTATCTAAGAGATAAATTTTTTCAGACAACAGTAATGTACCTGCAAAGATTGTCGTTTGATTGTAGGCATGTGTAGGCAAAAAACATTGTGAAAAATTAGCTACGTCTGTATAAAATCCGCCTAATCAATTACAGATCGAGTCTAAATTTTTGTCGAAATTTAACGCCAGTTACCTGCCTCCTATCTAACAGCCATTCTACATATGATTCCATATAAGTTTGCTCACACCTTAATATATGAGATGACATTTTACCTTATGGATAGATATGTAGAATGAATAAAATATC